TATCGAAGTATCAAAGAAAGTTTAGAATTTTAGAAATATTTAACGTTTGAATTATATGTTTTGAGGGTTCATTATATTCTATGTTGAATTCATCATTCTCCGTCAACGATATGTACTCTTAAAAACTAAAAAGGCAGTGTAAATTAAGTTTAGAAATTGTTGAAAATTAAATGTTAATTTTTAAATTCTATCAATACTCATTATAAAAAAATAAAAATTAAAATAATTATAATAAAATTAACTAAGAAAACATGGAGTATTTTAAATTATAATTTTTTTTTATAAACTACAAATTTTTTCAAAATTCTGACGCTAAATTTTGAATTTATTTAATAACGTTTACTGTTTGTTTTTCTTGTGCGGCATCTTAAAAAATTAAAATTGAAAAATAGCTCTCAACTAATTTTTTTCCCTTCTCTGAACCGTTAACAAAGTATGAAGGGGAGAAATTAAAACTCAATTATGATGATATTTTGGCTGGTCATGCTTGACGTCACCGTTATTCAATGAGGCAATGCTCCATTGCGTCAAAGTTTATTAAGCGAATCAATCAATGATCCGCAGCATTGTGCGCCGACCATAAAAGGAACGAACAAGCCTTTTTACGACTCGTATATTATTGTGTCCTGGGACTGGCCGCGCACGAGGGAACAAAGGCGTCTAATTATGAAGATAACCGAGTGCGCGCGTCGCCAAAGTGCGGGTAATTTGCGGACATTAGTGCACCGACCGTAATTATCATGCTGCAGAGAGAGGCCTTCGACGTGCGCACGCTATTCCAACAAATGGACATGAATTTTTGAGTAGCCGCTCGAATGGCTACGGATCAAAATCGTATCAGAAACGCACGAACGCTTGGAGTGGTTATGCAAATATTGGGCATCAGGAAGTTTATTTAAATTGCACTCGATTTCGAGCGGGTTTTATGTTTATTTTCATAGCAATCGATTTTGGAAAGCAAAACATGCAAAAAATATTGATTATATTATTTAAATATTAGTAAGACAACATTTTTTCATTAATACTTTCAATATAAGATAGGGAAACTAAAATACATTTTATTTTATTGAATGTTCATTCACTTTATTTATACTTTTAATTGCTTTTATATCAAAGAACAAATTATTTAATTAAATAAAAATGTAAATAAATAAAAAATTCCTAAAAATATTTTAAAAGAATAATTATTTAATTGCAATATTCAAATAAATTATCACGATAAAATTTTTACTGACAACCATACTATTCTTTTTCGATTTGATTTTGATCGAGCCAATTTATTTTTCTTCAATTTTTTCCTGCTGACAAATAAAAATCGTGACAAATTAATCACTGTGCATGCGATTGCAAAACAGAACACGGTGTTTCGCCTTTTTTTTACATCGGTGGCAACAGCTGAATTTAATTTTTATTCAACCAAGCGGTGCTGTGTGTCGACATGCAGGCCCATACACACGAGTGGCATTTTATTTCATTCTATTGTTGACCGCTGGGATGAAACTTTTATTATCGAGTCCGGGGCACAAATCGATCGTCGCGACGAGCGTGTGTGTGTCGCCCCAGCCGGAAGCAGATACGAGTTAGTTAAACGCAGAAAAGGAAGGTGTGCGTCATTTATTATTTTTTTACTTGTGCCGTCGTTCCCGACGGGACTCTGGAAAAATAAACGTTCCGTGCGCGATCATCTGCAGCACAGATCGATCGCCTCTCATACATATTTTTCGTTGCGTGTATATGTTTTCCAGTAAGAAAGTATAAAACTGCTCACGTAATTTTGTTTTAATGTATGCTGAGCTCTTCCTTTTCTATATAACTTTGAGCAAATCCATAGTTTCGTCCTTGAGAAATTCAAGTGAGTTGCACGCACCTGACAATGACAGCAGAGGTGGAGAACGTTCTAAACTTTGTCACTCATAAAAGGTCAAATTTGATCAAACACGAAGAGCGCTTTGAATAATATATTTCTAAAATTCTAAATATCTCCACTGGTCCCATTGAATAATTGACCATAAAGTTGAAAAGCAAAAATTACATAATATTAAGACGTACATTTCATTCATGATCGAAAACTTTCAAAGATGATTCAAAAAGAAAGATATTTTCCTTTTGCTATGAAATTGACATTGCAAGCCCAGCAAACGATTCAAAACTCACGATATGATAAAAAAATAAAAGAATTGTATAATAATCCTGATCGCTTTGCCATAGGGATTATATCAAAATTGAGATCTTTAATTTTTAGATCAAACCCCTTTAACTGCGTAACCATTGCCTTCATCTTTAATGTTCCAGCATTTGAGATTTTACACACACACACAATTGACCTTTTTAATTTTTAAACTGAATTTAGCTTGTAATCCAAAACTGATACAAAAGCGGAAAACTTTGTTATAAAAAGTAGATATAAATTCATTGATTTAGAATTTAAATTTATGCTAGCTATTTTATTGTGTCTGAACATTGAAAAATTAAAAAAAATCGTTATTTAAGATTATAAATTTGTATTAATTGTTAATAATTAAAAAAAATATACTTATGGTTCTTAACTACTAAATTTTTTATGCTGACAATGAGGACTGTTTTTTAAATAGTATTTGCTTACAAAATTTAGATATTTTAATATTCATGAGCTCTTAAAATAAACTGTTCTAAAAAATTTCAAAATTTATGATTCAAAGCCAACTTTAAACTGATTAGTTTTATTCTATTTTATTCCTCATATTTTAGTAAATTTTAATACAATTTTACTGTGACAAATGAAGTGTAGCTACTCTCCCATTTCCCAAATTGATTTTTGTAATTTTTAAAATTTCTTTTTGAACTGACCTCAACTGAACCAAGCTATTTTTTTTTTATTTGCTGGTTGATTATTAAAACCCGCTTTTGCCGCATTCTCCATTTTTCGACCCCACAAAAAAAGGCAATTTTTGCTGCGGATATGAGCGTTAAATATTGAATAACCACGCAACTCTCATCAAGAGCCTAATCCGGCAGCTAAAAAAGGGCTTCAAAAAAGCCGCTTAGCTTCACACAAACACACGAGAGTTAACTCGCGCTGAAATAGTTTCGCATGAAAGCCGACGGACGAACGTACGATTTTTTCCAGTCGAAATTATTATGGTGGTCGATCGAGTAAACCGAGAGAAAATTTCACAGTGCAAACACGTCAAGTAAAGTATGAAATTGACTGAACTTTATTTGCGCTGACGGCCTGTCTGCAGCAACAAACCGCGTCCAACCAGACATGTGGGCAGCGCATTTATTGCCGCACTAAAATTGCAGCTCTCATGTGTTTAAAACGCCAGATGCAAATGCCGTTCCATTCGTTAAAATATTCATTCCAGCAAAGGACGCCAGAAGTTGTCTGAAAATATATTGGATGATGAGTGAAGTAGGACACGTATTTATACAATAATTCCTAAAATTTGCACAGAATTCAAATCAGCAAAGAAATATATTATAGCGTATTATAGTTAATTGTGTCTTGATAAAGAATTAATTTTAGTTCAGTTAAAATTAGTTTTCCACTTTTTAATTTTTTTTTGAAATGCAAGCACATGGTTATAAAATCTGTAAAAATAATTATTATTTTGTTTCTAAAAAATAATATTACCACAATAAGTTTTAAGTAGTAAATAATAATAATAAAAAAATTATAACATAATATTAAGTAAATTTTTATTAAATATTAATTATTTTATTTAAAAAAGTTTTTTATGCATTCTGAATAAAATATTATTCTTTGCCATATATTTATCAACTCAAGCTTAGTAAACATATAAAAATATTTATTATTTATCAGCGGCTCAGACTACAGATAACAAATTAAATATTAAATATGTAATAAATTACTGGATTTTCATCCGTCGTAGGTGCCTAACGTTAACAAGATTAAATTATAATTATTGCTTCATTAAATACAGGGCCAGGATTATGACCTTAAAACGCCACGAATGCTTCCTTATCAGATCGGAGGAGATTTTTCCAAATGAAAGGGCAATGCGATGAAAGCACTTGAATCGAGGGTCAGACAATAACGTTTCCAGTAATTGATGGATTCGCTGATGGAGAATGAATGGAATGGAAAGTTCTCATATTAGTGTGGAAACAAATTCATTTATCTTTTTTAGATAATATTTTTACGTTTTTCATGATTTTTTTCTATTTCTCAAATCTAGTTCAAATTATGATCAATTATAAATTATTTAACTTTTTTTTACATTATTTTTCTTCTGTCGACTTATTTTTAAATGGAAAATAATATGTTTCGTTGATAGAAAATTTCACCGGGATTTACTTTACCACTAACTTCAATGTTCAATGTTTTCAAACCATAAAAGCGATGTAATTGGAAAATATCTCATAAATTAAGTTTTTCCATCTTTTTAAATTAATTAACGTTAATTTTGCTATTTTGGAAAAAGCAATATATTTGCAAAAAAAATCACGAAGTTTTCCAAGCGAAAATTACCTCTGCGCCTTTATCGTTATCTTCCACTCCATTTTCTCACGCCAATCGCGAATTCCAGCACATCATTTTGCTGGCCGCAGAATGTTCATTGAGAGCGGCTCTCTGGTATCAATAGGGTATTATTTCCGCGTCAATCGCCGTCGATTGGCACGGCCATTGTGCGCGTCGGCCGAGTCAGCCGGCTAAACAAACACGCCGTTTATTTTGCAGATAGTGACACCGCCTAGGGAACCGGCCTCTGGGTTAGGGACCAGCTCTGGGCCAATCCGGCTAATAAATTATGCAACGCCGACCGTCATTTCGTTACATCCTCCATTTATTCAAAATGATTTTGCGAAAGCAAGGAAGGGAAGGGACGCGCCCGCTCCCAGGCACAATTTATCGATTCGCTCTTCGGGCTGTTCAGAAATTCTATTAGCCGCCCTGAGAGTCAAAAAAGTCGCTGCTAATTAATTTCAAGGGCAACATTTGCCAACGAGTATTTGTTTTTGCGACCCGACTCACGTTTTCGTCCGATCTTTGTTTGCAGACGCAAAAAACCCCACAACCTGATACCAGCCCCGTCTCCAGACCCACCAGGCATAGGCGAAGACGACACCACGGCGGACGACAGTAGCGGCCTGATGGGCTCCAGTGAAGTCACTGGTCAGTATCAAAATGCTAATTATTGTTTCTCTATTAAAATTATCAAATGACGCTTGGAAAGGAAATAGAAATTTCAAGCACTATTTAAAAGTGATTTTCCGAAATAAGATATTTGATCATTAATTTGCAATTTTTATGACGTTTTGTTTTAAATTGTATTTAATCGGGTAGAAAATGATAATTATTTCGTTTGTGAAAGATTTTGATAGTTTTTTTATTATTTAAAAATAAGAAATCCACATGATTATATTTTATATTCTATTTGACTCCATACGGCTGTTAAAAATTTTCTGTTGCCCCCATTTGACCATTAAAACTTTTGCAAAACTGGTTTTCAAAAAGCGTTGGTCATTTTGTCCATAAGAATGCACATTTTTTTACACATTTATATCAGCTACATCGGCAGACGTACATAACTCAATATTCCAGTAGAGGCGAACGCAATCAAGTGCGCTCTAGTTTTTTTTTACCAATATCGCTCGCTCCACCAGCAATCGGCCAATGGCCGCTGCAGTATAAATTTTCGTTTGTCAATATACCGATACACGACCGCAGCAAAATGATAATTCCGCTTGGTCCCGTGGGAAAATTTTTTCAGTGGTACGCAGGTGTTAACGGTTGACGCCATTTGGCCCGAGCTCGCTGAATAATGGACGAGCTGCGATGAATTGAAGGGTCTGTTCGATTCGCAACACAGCAGAGAGAGCTTCGCGCAAATGACGTTTTTCCTCTGGCGCCTCTATTTACACGCAGCCCCTGCGGATCGACGTGTGGCGGCCACCTGCACGACATGCTTGACGCGCGGGTTGCATATTTCATTAAGCCGTTGTTTGAGTTGGCGAACACAAGACCGTGTACTTGTGTGTTGGTTCAGACAAAGAGTTTGAAAAGTGGCGCAGCCCGAGCCGAGCACCTCCGTCGACAAAACGAAAATAAAATCGCAAACAATGAGCAACTTGCCCGAGGGCCGCGTGAAATTATTTCTTTCCCGACGGTTGCACTCGGCCGCGGTGTTGGAAGTGCGTAATTATTTTCGGCGCGCCACAGCTAGTTTTGTTCTGCTTGAATAGAATTCGCAATAAGCCGCTTTTAGTGGTTTTGTATTCCCTGGCGGGCGATGTAGAACATTTGTATGCTGCGGGCCGCGTAATTTCAATGGATGTTTATTTTCGGCTGGTGCGCGCGGAAGATGGTTTTTGTGAATCCGCGGTTTGCGTGATGGAGGTTTTAAATTTATAATTACACGTGTTCATATACGTCACATGCACTCATTATAAAACAAGACACGTGCTCCTGGTCATTACAGCGTTTTTGCTCCTCAAGATTTCGCACCTTTATTTTTTTCTCAAAAAATTACATAAGATATTAATGAAAAAGTTCCTTTTTATGTTACAATATATTTTTATTCTGGTATTTATTAAATGCGTACATTTTATAATACTTTTATATTGGAATTGGCTTCATAAAAAAACAGCTGCAAGTGATCAGTAAAATAAAATTATACAATAGACAAAAAAAAATTATACAGTATAGGGCAGGGTCAATTGTAAACATTTTTCATTTTTTCTGATCGCGAGTAACCATGTCAAGCAAAATTTTAGCATTATCGATGCAAATAAATTCAATGAACATTTTGCTGCAAAAAATATAACTTTTTGCTTTTGGTTAATAAACTATTGAAAGCGCGATTCTTGATTCAGAGCTGAAGAATTAAATTATAATTCTATCAAGACAAATAATGCTTTAATACACTGTTTAGGCGTTTGTTCAGCAGTATTTATAAAACTGTGTGGTAGAATTTCACTATAGAGTGTTGATTCATGGTTATATATGAATTATTTAAAGTTGGCTTTTCCTTGACGGGCTTTGTGAGTTGTTTATTGTTAAAGAAAAAAACATGTAGAGTAGAACATTGTTTTTTTTTCTTATAAAATAAACAATTCACAAAACCCATCGAGGGAAAAGTCGACTTAAAATTCAAATCACCATCAATAAAACCTTTTGTAAGTTCAAGAATCTCCAAAATATTCATATTTATACAATATCAAAATAGGTTGAATTTTTTATTTTACTTAAATAAATGATAATATTAATTTTTGTAGAGATTCTGGAGATTGATTACAAACTAATAATTGGAATTTTATCAATGTTTTTGCAGTGGGCAACAGCACAGCGCTGGGTCCCGCGAGGGGTGCCGGCGCCCCCTTGGTACGCGCCGAGGAAGCCATGATCGTCTGCCTGGTGTTGCTCCTGTGGGTAGGCGCGATCGCCCTGTTCTTCAACCGATGGGGCAAAATCCGCATGCTCGAGCCGTACCAGCCCAAATTCCAGCCAGCGCACCGCCCCTCCTGCCCGCTTTTGGAACTGCCGCAGACGGCCGCCACGGCCTCTCCCCCCTCCTGCCCTTTGAACCAACGACTGCAGTTCAACAAATTCAATACGAGCCAAGATTCAGGGCAGAGCGTGCCCTGCCCGCACGGCCACACGCCTGCACGGCCGCGGCAAAACTCGGTGTTTGTGGCCACGCCGTGCATGGCGGCGCACTTCGCACCCCCACCCCGCAAGGCCAAGAGCGCAGTCGACCTTCAGGAATTGTTCCTGGAACAGGAGGAAATGCATCACCACATGCCGCGGCCCTGTTATCGGGGACGACGCGCCTCGTCGCTGCTGCCCCCACTCCTGCCCACCGTTCCTGATGACCTTCCCACCCTGACCGACGTTCCCCTCACGGTTGAACCTCCAACCCCCACTCCTGACAGCCTCCCCTGCCAGGTCTTGGTTCTGGCGAGCCCCTGTCGGCCCAGTCCGGCCCTGCTACGCGTGACGCACGTGTGAACCTGCGCAGAATGGGGGAACCACGCAGGGGCCAATTAGCTGTGAGCGGAGGGGAATGATCTCTAGGTGGAAGGGTGGTGGCCGACGAAGGTGGCGCCAACCTCTTAAACGTGGTCGTGCACAAAATTAAAAGAGTTAAAAATCACGCGTTTGGTGACACGCGTGCGGGAAAGCAATGAAAAAAAAATTTAATACCTTCATTACAATCGACTTTTTCAACTACTGAGCTACTTTAATTATTAATATACCTTCGAACCATTGTTGTATTTATAGCTTAGGTTCGCGTTTGTCTTGTCAAATGGTTAATCAAAAGCTAAAATGTACGCATGTCAAACTTATATCTCTTCTATATATCACCTTTTTACAAAATTCTTACATCTCAGATCGGTAAGGTTGCTCTTTATACTCTTTCAAAGATACTCGCGTTTTCTTTTCAAAGCTATATGCTCTGCCTCTTTTTCCATTGAATTTATACCTTCCCGCTGCCGGCGAGTATGTCCGCTGCTTGCAAATAAATCTTGGAGCACGCGTATCTTAACTGTGTCTTTAACATTCCTTGAGAAGTAGCTCTCTGTTGAAAGAACCGCCCTCTCTTTCCCATATTGCTTTTCAGAAATGTATATATTATATACGAATGAGCCGACGAACATATTTTGCTGTTTTAATAATCTAAAAATTCCTGATCATCATATATGTATAATAACAAAAAAGCGCCGCATCAACTCTTGTATGTAATGATTCCACCTTCTTGGGGTTTTCCGTGTTCAGCTGCTTCGGGCATAAGTAGACGAAACAAATCAGTTTTTGTACATAAACTAATGTGGAAAATTGAAAAAAAAGAGGCGAGGAACATTGCAAACCTAAGAAGACAAAAATGTATATTTATTATCAGAATTTAATGTTATAACAGAGAACGTGATTTTCTATATTACATGATGTAAGAGGTATACGACGAAAAACAGTATATCTTTCATGTTAAACTTAGAATGTGAAAAATAAAAATATAAATAACACACATGTTATTCAACGGGACACACTTCTTTGCTTGCTATACTATACCCTAATTTAATCTTTTTTCACTTGATCTACTCAGGCACCGAAGACAGAAAGGGGGGGGGGGGTAGAAGTTGGAATGGAAATTGGCAAAAGTGGAAGTTGGCGAATAACATGGAGGCAAAAGGTGGGGCCAGGGAAGAACGGGGAGAAAATGGGCAGCATCGACACATGATTTGACAGTCCCTGAAGCCAATGAGTGAATGGGGTTACACAAATTTAATTGCAGGTGGAAATTACGAATTTTAGTGTTGAATTTAAAAAAAGCATTTATATTGAGCGTGTAAGTGGAAACTCCATAAAGTAGAAACTCCCGAGAAAGCTACTTAATTTCCACTTTTGGGAGCTCAAATGAGGTGCTCATATGTGCACCTGATATGAGGTGCTCAAATGAGGTGCTAATATGTGCACCTGATATGAGGTGCTCAAATGAGGTGCTCATATGTTCACCTGATATGAGGTGCTCATATGTGCACCTGATATGAGGTGCTCATATGTGCACCTGATATGAGGTGCTAATATGTGCACCTGATATGAGGTGCTCAAATGAGGTGCTCATATGTGCACCTGATATGAGGTGCTCATATGTGCACCTGATATGAGGTGCTAATATGTGCACCTGATATGAGGTGCTCAAATGAGGTGCTCATATGTTCACCTGATATGAGGTGCTCATATGTGCACCTGATATGAGGTGCTCATATGTGCACCTGATATGAGGTGCTCAAATGAGGTGCTCATATGTGCACCTGATATGAGGTGCTCAAATGAGGTGCTAATATGTGCACCTGATATGAGGTGCTCAAATGAGGTGCTCATATGTGCACCTGATATGAGGTGCTCATATGTGCACCTGATATGAGGTGCTAATATGTGCACCTGATATGAGGTGCTCAAATGAGGTGCTCATATGTGCACCTGATATGAGGTGCTCATATGTGCACCTGATATGAGGTGCTAATATGTGCACCTGATATGAGGTGCTCAAATGAGGTGCTCATATGTTCACCTGATATGAGGTGCTCATATGTGCACCTGATATGAGGTGCTCATATGTGCACCTGATATGAGGTGCTCAAATGAGGTGCTCATATGTGCACCTGATATGAGGTGCTCAAATGAGGTGCTAATATGTGCACCTGATATGAGGTGCTCAAATGAGGTGCTAATATGTGCACCTGATATGAGGTGCTCAAATGAGGTGCTCATATGTTCACCTGATATGAGGTGTTCAAATGAGGTGCTCATATGTTCACCTGATATGAGGTGTTCAAATGAGGTGCTAATATGTGCACCTGATATGAGGTGCTCAAATGAGGTGCTAATATGTGCACCTGATATGAGGTGCTCAAATGAGGTGCTCATATGTTCACCTGATATGAGGTGCTCATATGTGCACCTGATATGAGGTGCTCATATGTGCACCTGATATGAGGTGCTAATATGTGCACCTGATATGAGGTGCTCATATGTTCACCTGATATGAGGTGCTCATATGTGCACCTGATATGAGGTGCTCATATGTGCACCTGATATGAGGTGCTCAAATGAGGTGCTCATATGTGCACCTGATATGAGGTGCTCATATGTGCACCTGATATGAGGTGCTCATATGTTCACCTGATATGAGGTGCTCAAATGAGGTGCTCATATGTTCACCTGATATGAGGTGTTCAAATGAGGTGCTCATATGTTCACCTGATATGAGGTGCACAACAGAGAAATTAAATATAAGCATCAAAAGGGTAGAAGATCAGCCAAAATAGTTCTTTAAAAGGGAAAGATATGACTGAATTGTCTAAATTGTCTGAAGGAAAAGTATTAGCAAGGATTTTTCCCTTTAATATTTACTACTAACTGCAAACTTTAATTAAATGTGATAGCATATTTATTGTTGGTTTAAAATCCTTCACGCTAAATTCTTCATAGTTCATTTTATGATTCTGTACTTTATGACAATTTTTAATGCTTCCCATTTTTTTCATATATATTTACTTTTGAGAAGATAATTTTTTTTAACTTTGTGACTTTCACCTTACGAACTATTCGACATATTTAAGATACGAAATTTTTTATCACAATCATCACTGCCATACATAAACGAAATGTGCCAAATTTTTCACTCGGAAAAGTATTTTGTGTAGTACAATGCTAGGATTATTATTCCCTATCCCTAAAGAGAGCAAAATAAAATATGACTTAATGACTTTCGTAATTTTTTTTTTTTTTTTAGTCTTTAGTGAATACATCTTGAGAATTGAATGTATTCCACACACAGCATGGGCTTGTAACGCGGAATTGAGACGTTCGGCGTTTTACTGCGGCCAAGAGCGGCAGCTGTACGCTTTTATTATTTGCAAACACAGACGCGTCTTTTTTGGCCTTGGCACCCCACGCATTATATCTCTCGAATATAATGCACACATCACGTTTTGTTGTCGACCTTATGTATAACATAATGTGTGTCTATATATCCATGCAACGAGAATCCTGTTTGATATTCAACGATGACGCTGAACAGAGAGCCTCAGAAAACGGCACTTTAACTTTTCTCTTCTGCTATACCGAGGAGAGTGTGTAATGTTCCGCTCCAAAATGTACATTAGAGCGTTCACAGGAACAAACAGAACAGCCATCTAGGTAAAACGTCACATGCAAATCGCACTCTGCTCCCTCCCGCGGGCCTGATGTCAGTGTGTTGTTTTTGCTTTTAGTGGAAATTGCTTGCTCTTCTCTGCTCGCGGTATGGCAGGAATTTGCGAAATGCGCCGCCGCTGCGAACGAAATTACGTAATTTTAAGTTGTTCTACTTGATGCCTAGATAGCCCTTTATGCACAACACGCCGGCTAAAGTTGCTGGATGTTTAATAGCTTGGGTAAATTTAATAACGGGTATGGCTCCGCGCGTCTGATGATGATGATATGACCTTAAGCGTTTTCATTTAGATGAAAGGAGGGCGATTCAATTTTGTGTCTGATGTATGGTGCGGGGTTAAGAGTAATGAGAGTTGTTTTCTCGTCCTGCCACAGAAAATATCCCTTCATTATTTCCACAAATAATACACTATTTGTTTTCAAGATCCCTGTGAGATTTCAAATAAACAGTTTACCAAGACACATTTTTATTTAATTATTTTCATATTAAACAATGTTGCAATTAGACACGATTGCCGTAAAAAAGTTGGACTTAGGGGTAGAATATTTTTGTTTGAAAATTTCATAAATTAATAAAAATTATTAAATTTAAGATAAGAGTTTAATATTTTCATTTGTAAAGACAATAATGACCAAGTGTATTTTTTTTTAATGTTTAAACACTTTTTTCCACCTGACGCTTTTAATTATGATATTATAGTTGTTATACAATTACTTAGCTACTTTTTAAAATATTAACGATTAATTATTTGGATACTTGTATTATTTTATTTTATTATTTATTTTTCTCAACGAGTTTAAGCCTGGTTTTAATTTGCCAGTGTGTATGTCTCATGTGGTGTAACCACAGGGACCTTTAATTATTGTATTGCAGAAGAAGAACTTTAATTGTACAAATCTTATAATTATGTAACCGCGCGCGTTAAGGCCATTTAGTATATTAACCAAAGCTGAGCACAACCCTTAAGTTCCCGCCCCGCGCGCCACGCCACCACCAAGAACTACGACCGCCGCGCTCAGGGCGCCACCTGAGTGCCCAAGCAGACGCTTCCTGGACTCGACTGAGTGTGGTTGTAATGGTTTCCCTTCCCGCTTTAAAAGGTATTGCTTGGCGCCCACGCTAGATAAATTCCGAACTGAATATCCTTTTAAATCAGCTTAATCCGTTCACTAATTCAGTCCGAACCTTAAAACTCAGCATTTGAATATTAAATCTAATAGTAATTCCGCATTAGTTTGGCCAATTATTGTTTAGTTTTAAGAATAAACCATCACTTTATTTGTTATTGTTAATTAACTTGTTTACTTGAAATATCAATTAACCCTTTTTAGTTAGAGCACAAAGATAAAAGAGTAAAAGCATTAAAGGCCAATTAGAATTAAAGCCAATTTCCATGAGGCCGCCAAGTTAAGTCAATTAATTAATTAAGAAGCACGTTCGAGTCCGGGAAAGTCTCCAGCTCTGCGCAAGTGAGAACTTCGGGGAAAAGTCCTGTCGAGAGTCACGACAGATTTGGTGTCAGGTGGGTGGGGTGTGTTTTTTTTCCAAATTAACGCACCCTTTGGAACGTCCCGCGCACCCTGGCCAGCCCAGAGAGCACGGTACTCTCCCGTACCCTGTTTTCGCCGAAGTTCTGAGGATCCGAGACCGACCGTGACAAGCCTGGTGCCATCGACAAGAAGCGACCGCTGGATCGAGGTACACCGAGAAACAAGAGGCTGACGGAAGGAGAGCGCCTTAAGAAGCACTTGCCGAATTTGTTCACGGGAAAACACAGGCACACTGCTGTAGAGCGCGACCAAGAAAAACGCAGAGCTGTTAATTTAAGGTATCCCTTTTAAGTTGTAATGGATCCTATTATTTAAGTGGGTAGAGTGCTTTTTGTAAATATCAGCCTTAAGGGCGTTTTGCAAAGGTGCACTTCAGGCCAAAAAGGAACTCGGAAATTGAAAGTTAAAA